TGTAACGCGGGTTTCGACCTTGGCGTTTTTGATGTTGTAACGCGGGCTTCGACCCTGGCGTTTTTGATGTTGTAACGCGGGGTTCGACCCTGGCGTTTTGATGTTGTAACGCGGGTTTCGACCTTGGCGTTTTACTGTTGATACACGGGGAGGACCTCCGCGTCTTGCCTTTGTCATAGCGTTGCAAAGATCATTGTCTTGTAATCTTCGTCTTGGCTCCTTAAGAATATGAGAGTCGTCAGATTGTAACTCCCGATGTTGATTGTGAAGGCCGTTGATTAGAGCTTTCATCAGTTGTCGTGAAGGTCGTCAGATTGTAACCTTCAGCGATCTACGTGAAAGTCTTCAAATTGTAGCCTTCTGGAAGTCGTCAGATTGTAACTTCCATCATCGGTATTTGATGGGGGATAAGCTATCTATTGTGATTTTTAGACAGCCTACAATTCTCTTTAACACGTGAAGAGAAGTTTTTTTTTTGTTCAGCGGTTTGAAGCTTTTGTTCAGGGGTTTTTCCAAAAGCCCACCCGATAAGCTACTATAAATTTTAGTTTCTAGGGTTTCGTGATGAGTGCAAGGTGAGGGGGTGCAGAACCTTTTGTTTTCATTGCTGCTGTAGTGTGCGAAGTTGAGGCAAAAGGACGAAAGAAAAAAAAAGTACGGCGTATAGAGAAAGGACAGAGGCTTGGGCAGCGTGCAAAAGAGAGTTTGTGCAAGTACTGTATAAGGAGAAGTTTGCAGCTGTTCTTTGGGTTCTTTGGCCGCTGTTCTTGGGTTTTGATGACGACTGTACTTTTTTGTGAGAGGTTTGAGAGATTGTGTGAGGGTTTAGATTGAGTGATTGTAAACCCTAGTTGTATTCTCTCCCTTGATTAGTAGATCTACCCTTCCTTTCCCCATGGACGTAGGCTATTTGCCGAACCACGTAAAATTTGTGTTCTTTCCGTAATTTATAATAGCTTGTAGGATCCCTCGACAGGTCAGTCCTAGAACTGATGAGAGGAAGAACCGATATCTTACTTTGTTGAGATATCCGCTTCAGATTCTTGTTTCCTTGATGAGACATGAATTCTTACGATCTAATCTCTTGTTGTGCACCTTGCGCACCTGAGGTGCTGCCGAAATTTTCGCTACGCACAACAAGTGGTATCAGAGCTCCGGGTTGAACTTGGGAGCTTGTTTGAAGGATTCGCTGAAGGATTCATATTTGAAGGGTTAGATCGACAACATGGGTGAAACAAGCACATCAGGATCGTCTCTTACGAAGACGATACATAATTTGAGCATCAATAACATAAAGATTGATGTTCCGAAGTTCGACGGCAAGATTAATTTCGGATTGTGGAGGTGTCAGGTGATGGACGCCTTTGACGCTCAGAATTTGGAGGAGACTCTTGAGTTACAAGAGAAACCTACCGATATGAAAGCTAAGGTTTGGAAGAAGATGAATAGTAAGGCGTGTGAAGTTATTCGGTCATGTTTGACGCCGGATCTTATTTATAACGTGATGAACGAGACGTCGGCGAAGAAGATGTGGGAAACACTCAATGAAAAGTATCTTACTAAGAGCATTGAGAATCGGCTTCACTTGAAGAAGATGTTTTACCAATTTAAGATGAAGAGGGGAGTTTCCATTAGGGAGTATGTTAATAACTTCACAAAGCTACTTTTAGACATGGCTAATGTGGGTATCATGGTTGAGGATGAAGACAAGGCGATGCTACTTTTGTGTTCGTTGCCCGATGATGATTATGGTACTTTTATCCTAACTATAATTAATGAAAGAACTACTGTTAGTTACAAGGAGGTGACCTCAGCGTTGGTGAATTATGAGTTGAGGAAGAGTGTTGATGAGTCCTCCGAGAAGGCATCGGGAGATGCATTAGTAGTTCAAGGCCATGGTTCAAACCAAAGCAGAAGGTCGCGGTCTAGAGGTGCACATCATGAGATTCGTAGGAATCAGTGTCCCTTTTGTAAAGAGGATGGACATTGAAAAGCCGAATGCCCAAAGTTAGATCGAGCCGAGAAGAATAAGGGAAAAGCTGTACAAGCTTCAGAGGTGAATGTTTTCAAGACTAGTGGCAACAATTCAGATTTGGATTCTTCGGGCTATTCGTTGTCTGCACTACCGTCAGTTTGTGTTGCCAACTCTACAGAGTGGATGTTAGATTCGGGTGCTTCTTACCACGTTTGCCCTAGGAGGGATTGGTTCTCCAACTTTCAGAAGTTAGAAAGAGAGGATGTTGTGCTCATGGGTAATGGACATGCATGCTCGATTGGTGGTATTGGTACCATTCGGATTAAGATGAGTGACGTGGTGATTCGGGAGTTGAATGAAGTGAGGTTCGTTCCACAATTGAAGATGAACATCATTTCACTTGGAGCTTTGGAGGCAGCAGGTTATAGGGTGATCTTGGTGGACGCACGCTTGAAGGTCATATTAGGGTCCATGATTGTGATGAAGGGCGTCAAAAGGAGCAATTTGTATTATTTGCTTGGAAGCACGACGATTGATAGGGAGATGACGACTTCAACAGATTCGGCTAGACTGTGGCGTTGTTTGATGCTGAGTTATTTGATTGGTAACACCGTGCATAGGTTGTTGAGGAGTGTATGGGATCCTGTCCTTTAAAGCAAATTAAGTAAGATTAACAGTGTTTAACAATTGATTAATCGCCCCTAACTTCCACTGCAAGTGTTTTATACCGCAGGATATGCAGTATATATATTTTAAGTATAAGATCAACCCTTTTTTTTAGAGGAATAAGATTAAATACTGCTTGGAACATTAAAGGATATAATTGCTGGTCAAAGTATGTATTGTTATTCTATCCTTTGATATTGGACCCTCGTCTTGTCTTTTATCATTACAGGATAAACCAGTTATTGACCATTTTTCAAATTAATAGTTTATTTCCTGGTGATATTATTTATCATAACGGATAGAAAATAAACAAAGATGATTTAGAATAGAGTTAATAGATAAATGTACTATTAATTGTTCGTTTAGAAAAAATTCTACAAAATCCATTCTGAGTTGTAAATACTCTACTAAATTTTTGTCCAAAAACATGCTAAAAATGCATTTAATTTTAGGAGTTTTCCTCTTTTAACCCGATGTTTTACCCCCACTTATTTAAAAACTCACCCACTTGTTAGTCTAAAATGTAGACCCAAAGTCGAGATGAAAAATAGAATCAAAACGATGAAGAAAACAGGCTGGAAGATCCATGATCGACCGCGGCGATCGACCGCGAACGTGCACAAGAGTTGGGAGGAGCTGAAGCTGAAGGCGGTCGACCGCGCCAAACATGTAAGATTTTTTGGTCTCGGGTTTTGATCGCGGTCGACCGCTCAACTCTCTGAAATTTGCGCGGTCGACCGCAACTCAGTCAAACAGTTTCCTGAACTGTTTAGGAATCTGTTTCTACCAGGAATCTATATATACCCCAAACGTTTTTAGGGTTGTAACAACACGAAAAAAGAAAGCTTTTTGACTGCAAGAAGATAGAGTCTCAGAGAGATTAAACCCTAGTTTGAGAGCTTGTAATTCTTCTTCAAATTAATAAAGAGATTGTGTGATGTGGCTCTCGAGGACGTAGGCACGTTGCCGAACCTCGTTAAATCTGTGTGTTCGTCTCCTTTACTATTTGGACGTAGGCACGTTGCCGAACCTCGTTAAATCTGTGTGTTCGTCTCCTTTACTATTTTTGCAAGGTTAAATCTTTATTTGTGGTATTATTCCTATCTGTGTGTTCGTCTCCTTTACTATTTTTGCAAGGTTAAATCTTTATTTGTGGTATTATTCCTACTTTTTCTACTTTCAATACAAGGTTCGGAAGGGCAACGGTTCGATTGATTGTTTCGAATCCCCAACACCACTTATATAAACATTCGTAACCCAAAGTATCTCATGCCATTTATTTAAAAACCCACTTATAGATACTCCCTCGTTATTTTATGTACTGACATATGTTGTAAAAAATTAATTTCACACATGCATACACTCTAATTTTTTTGCAGAATTAACAAGGAGATAATATAAAGACCAAATGCTAATAATATATATCCACAAGACCACAGATATCTAAAAAATGAACAAAAACAACCATACAAACAAAAACCATATTAATTACCCACACACGCTCACTGTTTTGAAAGACCACTGTTCTCCATCTCTATCTATAATATATCCACGTCTAAGCACCATGTCCTCTCAAAATTATTAAGCTGCTACAGTCACTCCCCTCACCGACTACGCTAGTGCGCAAAGCCTCCCTTTACTTAAATTGGGCCTGAAGGCTTTTATAGTGTTTTGATTGATTGCAGCAATGAGGCCACATACAATAGCCCAACAAGGAGCAAGCAAGAAGATTGCTATTTTGTTTTATTTGATCCTTACTAAAGGGTTGACTCATGCCACCTGTTAAAGAAGCTAAAAGGATTCACACTCGTCACGGTGTATTTCTGGCTTCATCACACAAAAAAGACGAAATGCAGTGGTCTTGTAGTTTTTTTAAACAACCGTGCTTTTTGGCTCGTGCTTTAACGCGCGAGCCAACTCGCACATGAAACAGGGGGTGGGCCCCCACTGACACAGTGGGGGTGGGGGCCCACCCCCTGTTTCATGTGCGAGTTGGCTCGCGCGTTAAAGCGCGAGCCAAATTTTTTTTTCGTTTTTTAAACTATGAGGTTCTGTCCTTTTAAACAAATTAAATAAGATTAGTCTTTTACAAATAGATTATGTTCCCCCCTAACCTCCAACACAAACATTTTTATTACGTTACATAAGATAATAAGCCCGCTATGTCCTCGAATCTCGAATGCTGCATTAAAAACTGGATGTTTTTGGGGGAACATGCACTATGTTTCTTTTTAGGGGCTGTTTGGTTCGTTTCCTAGATATAGGGAAATGCATTTCCATGTACAAAAACACAAGTTTGGTTTATGTAAGTCTCTCTGAGAGTAGACCAACAAGCAAGGAAATGTAGAAGAAGGTGGTGCTAAGGCCCTATTTCTACCTTCACATGTTGCATCAGAACAAAGCCTAAATGTGACCCGGAAACATCTGTGTGCACTACAAATCCTCCTGACTCATTCGAAATTATCAAAACTAGAGCTATCGTGAACTTCTTCTTCAACCCATCTAATACTGCTTGACACTCCTGAATCCATACAAACTTGACCTCTTTCCTAGTCAGTCTAGTAAGTGGTCCTGCAATCTTTGCAAAATCCTTTATGAATTTCTTGTAATGTCTAGCCATCCCCAAGAAACCTCGCACTTCTGTCACAAATATAGGCGGATCCAACTTCAACATTGCATCAAATTCTTTAGGTCCATAGAAATACCTACTCTGATATCACATGCCCCAAAAAACACAATGGCTCCAACCAGAACAAACACTTATTTAATTTCCCATAGAGCTTCTCCTTCTGCAGGATTTCCAACATAGTCCGTAGATGCTCTGCATGATCTTTCCTGGTCTTAGAGTATACAAGAAAGTAATTGATGAACTACGACAAACTAGTTGAGATACTAAGAAAACACATTGCTCATCAAGCTCATAAATGTAGATGTGGCATTAATTACTTGGAACGGCATCACCAGAAACTCATAATGCCTATATCGTGTGTGGAATGTGGTCTTGGGTAAGTCTTCATTCCTTACCATCAAATGATGATAACTGACCTGAGGTCCAACTTAGATAACACCCTAGCTTCTCAGAGCTGATAAAAAATGTCGTTAATCTTGGGAATTTGGTACTTTTTTTTGTAACCTGATTCAACTCCCTGTAGTCAATATACATCCTTTGGCTACTGTCTGACTTTGGTACTAACACCATCAGTGATCCCCAAGGGAAAGTACTAATCCTGATAAATTTCTTTTCGAGATACTACTAGACCTACTTTTGCAACTCCTCTAAATCTACTACTGGCATCTGGTAAGGTGGTTTGGAGATAAGTGAAACTCTTGGAGTTAAATCAATGATGAACTCTATGTCTCTGTCTGGTGGGAGACCTAGCAACTTATCAGGGAAAACATCAAGAAACTCCTCAACAATTTGTGGTACGGGCTTCTCCTCTATCTCTATCGAGGTTAATACCATGTCCATGCCTGCTTGGTACTCTGATGCTCTGTCACTTTGCTACCACTCATAAATTCAAACTCTGGGTTATCGGTTATCTTGAACACTATGCTTCTACGTCAGCAATCAATAATAGCATAGTAGTTGTAGAGCCAATCCATCCTTAAAATAACATCGAACCAGTTAGTGTTAATCACTAACAAGTCAGCAAATAGCTGCCTACCATGGACTACTATAGGGCATCTCTTACACTCCCTATAGATATTAACACGCCGCTACATATATGGATAGTCCAGGCTGCATCTAAACTATCGCATGGTATAGTAAGTCATGCAATGAACTAAGAGGATATAAAATAGTGTGATGCCCTAGAATCAAATAGAGTAAATGCAGAGACTGAATAAACCAAAATAGTACTTATGACCATGTCATCGGATGCATCTGCCTGCTCAGTGGAAAGTGTCAAAACCTGAACCTGTCTCTACTACTACATATCCTGCTGACCATACTACCTTGGGCGCCTCTACTGATTTTGTGGCTGATACGGATGCTGAAACTAGGGACTTCTCCACTATTTCAGGCCTCAAAATTGTTGCCCCCTCTAATGTCCTCGGAACATTGCTACTAAGTAGAAAGTGGTGGTCTCCTCTATCGTCGACCATGTCTAGCCTAGCCTGCTGGTACGATTGCTCCACTAGAAGCTCCTCTTGAAAGGGAAGTAGTAAAATGATGATCCTCCACCGCACATGCTATGCACAACCTGTTAGCTCTCCTACAGTCTTTCACCAAGGGTCCCAGGTTGTTGTAGAATTGGCAAATCATGTTAGTTAGCTATGGAGCTGGTCTTGAAGTACCTATCTGCTAGCGCTTACTAGTGCTCGGCTGGTGCTCCTCCCATCTAAGGCTTCTGCTGATTACTCCCAGATGTCTATTCTGCAGGGCACTTGTTGGCCCCTCTCTTCACCGAGTTCATGATCCCAATCAACTGTTCTGCTTTTGAGATGCCTCTAGGATACTAGCATTAGTCTCAATCCCCTTCTGACTACAAATCTTTGCCTAGATCTCAAAATTAATACCCTACATGAACCTTTGTCCCTTTTCCACCTCATTGGACACCACGCCCAGGGTAAAGTACTTGGAAAATTCTGCTGCATACTCATCTATAGTACTAGCTCTTTATCTCAGCATAACAAATTGCCTCTGCATCTCAAGGTGAGCTATCTTAAGGGGAAATGTCTCTAGGAAGCTCTCCCTAAACATCTCCAATAAAATCAATTTAGGAAGCTTCTTCTCCTCTGGGTCTTACCAGGTTCTGGCTACATTTACAAGCTGCAGCTGTATAGACTCTATCTTCATCAGGTACTTTTGCCACCCTCAATAGGTGGTCCATGGCATGCAACCACATCTCAACCTCATATCCACCTTCAATTTTAGCAAAGTGTTACCGGTTGAGCTTCCAAAATTCAGACACATTACATGGCCTTGTAGCCTGTTGCTGCCCATCTCTCTGGCGATTATGAGCTACTAACTCTCTAATCATTCTACAAGATCAGCTTTATCTACCTGTTGTCTCTTAGCCATAACTGGAGTAGTGGGATGATGTTTTGGGGCCATAGTGATCACTTGAAATGAGATTGATCAAAAAAAAGGTATGGAGTCAACGGATGTAGTTTTAAAAAGGAAAGAACTTATTCTATACATGCTCTATTTTTGGCGTAATCTTAGTTTTTTTTACTTGTATACAGGATGAGACAATAGTTACTAAGCATGTCTCTCATACCAATAAAAATCTTATCACGCCCCAGTTCCGAAACTTAATAATTAGAACATGCCTCGACCGACAATGTAACAATTAGGCCACATTTATGACTCTAGGTCATCATATGTATAGATATATAGCCACAACTACACCATAGAGCATGTAACTAAGACAACAACAGAAATATATAGATAAAGATATCTCCAGAAAGGCAGAGTTCAACTACAAGTCCACAGCTAACCAAAATGGAAAAGGATAAGAAAAATACATCATAGTCTAGAAGGCCACATGTGGTTCAAGAAAAAGTCTGAACTAAGTAACGACCTAAACCAAATGAAACTAAAAAATTGATAGGAGAAATAGTGATCACTGCGGCTCAGCCTGCTCCTCAACATACTCTTGATCCTGTGAAGAGAGAACAATCTCCGAGTCTGAGGTGCGCAAACCCCAAGGGAGTCAGAAAACTCCCAACAAGCATGTAAAATGAAAAAATTGTGTGCGTGTATGTGGTAGGTATAAAGAAAAGATAAAACCTCAATTAAAGGTGACACAAAAATGCTAATTGTAGATATCAGAATAAAGTCCATCACAAGATACATAAGCATATTATTATTTTAGATGTTATTTGAATTAGAGGGGAATGTTTTCATGTATATATGTGGGTTTTCCCCTAAATCGTTCAGGGAACAAGGCTTCAAGTCAAGTATTAGCCCTTGGCCCTTATATATCTCAGGATATCAAGAATACGCATGAGCTCGCTTATATACACTTTAGATTATCCGTCCAATTCTCCTTTATTCAACCCTATATTTGTCAATTTATTTTAAGTGACTGCACATGAATAGTTATTCACTAACCATAGAGTTACTGTAGCCCAGCTTCTGTAAAACTATGAAACATAACCGTGATCTAGAATATGCCCAATCAAGAAGAGTGCATCGTCTGGCCTACATTATAATAAATAATAATAGTCTAAGAAACCTCATACTAGGATATCAACATCGTGGTTATAGTCATGCAATGATAGCACGCTTATGAATCATACTTTTGACAAAAAAGTCGTATTCATGCACAACCTAGTCTATTTGATGACATTAATGATAAACAAGGATCACAAACCACACAATTTATTTTAATGTATAACAAGGTCCAGCGTATGAGCTAACAACTTCACTAAAATAATATAAATTTAAACTGGTAAGCAAAATAATAGTTAAAATGAAACTGAGAAAGACAAAGAGACATGACCAATTGAAAAGATCTATAGAGTCAAATAATCTAGTTCTAGGGAACCCAAAAACTATAAGGAAAAAAGAATGGTCCAAGGATTTGAGGAATGGACCTCTGCAATAACAGACATACCAATTTTTAGGATAACTTCATTGTCCGATACTCTTAAGACAAGTAGTGTGCTGGTTAAAATATTCCAGAAAAAACTAACAAATCTACTGCATACACTATATGGCCAAAAATAAATTTAAATTAAACAATGATTAATTCCCTTCCTTTGAGATAAAATAAAGGTATAATATTATAAAAGCAAAAATCATAAGTGCATTGACATTGGTGTAAGTTAGAAAACTGTTTGAAACTAACTAGAATAACAAGTTGATATTTATAGAAGAAAACTTTAAATTTTGCAAAAGGAGGGTTACTTCCTTCTTGAGATTTTTTTTGTCTAGAGAAAAATAATTGTTGGACAAAATATTGACTAGGATCTTCCAATTTATAAAATTATTAATTACGAGTTATCTGTGCCAAACCCCCAAGAAAAGCTTTTCACAAATTTATACCTGAAAATTTCTTAAAAACATGTATTTCTACCAAAATTAATATTTCCTGAGTGATGCTTTTAAACAGAATGTTGATAAAGTGTCAAATATTCAAAGGTTCTAACTACCTAAGCAAATGTAAAGAAAACTTACCGTTCCCCCAACTATGCAAAGTATCAGAAACATAAAATCATAAAATAATTATTTTTACTTGGAAATGTTAACAAAAGTGTCACCTCTAAGCACTCATAACCAAATATATGACTAGAACCATTATACCAAATGTGAGCTGTGCATTACAGAATTTGCTTTTGTAACACATCTCCTAAATACATATCTTTATGTAAAAGTTAATGGTCATACACATGGAAGGAAAACAAAATTCTCTTTGAACTATGAGCAATAATTTTAACATTTGGATCTAGCATATAATATTTGGTAGGCTTGTCTAACATCTATTTGACAAGAGTTCTAAGTTTCTGATGTTTGATAAAAAGACAAAAACATCTAAAATCTTAAGATTTAAATGTAAATAGAAACGAGAGAGATTTTATCACGAGCTCTAGGTATAGAACATCAATGTGAAGCAAAAATTCAAAACAAGGTAAAATGATAGAAAAATATGTGTGTCGGTTGCCTAGTAATGGCTCTGAAGACTAACCCAAAAAAAATTCCAAATCAAATGTCCTTCTCCTTCTCTCATCGAGCTGTAATTGGTGCCTTCTCTCCTTCTTCTTCTATTTTTTTCCAGATGAGGTGTAGAGAATTGAAAGAGAAGATAAAAGGGTTTTAGAAGGAGAGTTCAATTAATAGAGATAAGATAGTTAGAGATTATCCAAGATTAACAATGTTTTAGAAGGAGAGTTCATTTAGGGGCTGTTTGGTTCGTTTCCTTGATATAGGGAAATACATTTCCATGTACAAAAACACAAGTTTTGAGTTTTCCAAACTTTTCCAAGAAATGGATTGTTTCGCTTTGGTTCGCACAAAAAAATGATGGGAAATCAATGTATTTATTTTTCTTGTGTTTGGTTCGCATGGAAAAAAAGGAAAACTTTTGTTGATATTACATTTCCCACTTTTTTTGTGTTTGGTTGGTTTTGATGTTTGTAATGAAAAGTGTTTATGGTCACCATGGTAAGATTACCCCCACTATATTATACAACATTTGTGCTTGTTATGTGATGTAATCTTAATTATATAAAAGTTCGACTGTAACATGAACAAATAATAATATCTCAAATAAATTATAATTTGACTTGTAGTAACCTGATTATTCATAAATTTATGTAGTTAAGTTGCATGAATTATCCAAAAAAAACTGTTGAAACCTATAAAAACATATAAACAACCTGAATAGCCAAGCATAAGTATATAACCTAGCAAATCGCACAAAACCATGATTGAAAATTATTCCACAACACAACCCAGCAGAAAAAATTATTCCACAACAAAACCATGATTTTATCTGCATACAAAGTTTCAAAATTAGCTACAGACTACTGATACAACACCGAGCAGAAAAAAAACCAAGAGAAACAACATATGCACACCAAACTGAACACAATTAGATTGTAATGGTCACAAAGTCGAACATAGCTGCCAAACTGATTATGGCTTAAGGCTCAGAATTTTGGTCAATATCATCAAATTGTTAGCCATCCAGTGCAATATCAAGAGATATTGCAGGTTGCTAATCTCAGATAAATTAGAAATCATCATAGCCTAATTTGAGCACCCGTAAACAATATCAAAATACTGGCATCAACATCAGCCAACAACACCACAGCCAACAACTCCACCAGCCAACAAGCAGGCTCACAACCAAAGTACCCAGCAGACCACCAACAGGCAACAACGTGCCCAACCAACACCACCAACGGGCATCAACACCATCAGGCAACATGCATGAAGACCATCAACAGGCATGAGGCAACAACAACAAGACCACCAACCAGCATCAACAACAACACCATCAGGCAACATGCATCAAGACCAACAACAGGCATGAGGCAACAACATCAAGACCACAAACAGGTATCAACACCAACACCACCAACGGGCATCAACACCAACACCATCAGGCAACACGCATCAAGACCACCAACAGGCATCAGGCAACAACATCAAGTACCCAACAGGCAACAACACCAAAAGGCAACAACAAGAACAAGTACCTAGCCAACAACAGTAACATGCAACAACAATGCATCAAGACCACCAACAGGCATGATGCAACAACATCAAGACCACGAACAGGCATCAACACCAACACCACCAACGGGCATCAACACCAACACCGTCAGGCAACAAATAAGCTGAGAGAAAAAAAAACCATAATTAGATTACAATTACAAGTCATTCCATATGTCAAAAGTTCAGTGCAATAGTGAACCTGCGGGGATGGATTTTCTAAAAAATGATACCACTATAGTCAAGAAGCAATGAAGTTATTAAGAAAGTTGGTTGAGTGCACAATGTATATAACCATCCAGACAGGTAAAGGTAATATATGTATCAGAAAGTTAAATTTTAATGTAAAATATTCATGTGTATAAAATGTTACAGACATGCTAAAGGAGATGTTACCAGCACACCCTTGTTCAAATTCATCCATGCAACTTTGCTTGAGTAATATTATTTTTTACTTGAAAGTGGTAAAAGGATTTAAAGTTCACCTGATTTAATGCGCAAAAAAATATATGATGACATATTAATAATTACATCATGAAAATGAATCGAAATTAAAAGAGGAAGAGGGGTTCTGCTTTGGTACCTGAAATCTGAACGAAGGAACTAACTTGTGCATGAAAGGACTGCTTCTTTAAAGTTGTCATGAATTTCATAATTTTAATAAGGAAGAAATCCAAGAAAGGAAAGCAAAAGGGATCTCCATACCTATACAAAATAGGGAAATGCATCCTCCAAACAACCAGTATCCAAAAAATCTGAACAGGCTCACAACCAGGCTCCACAACTAAGCTCACAACCAGCAATATAAAACCAAGCTCACAATCAGCAAACCAAACCACAACAGGTTCACAAGATACACCCACCAGCATCATCCAAACAAGCACAAAAAGCAACCAAAAACCCAACAATGAAAATGATACACCAACCAGGAATATAAAACTAGCCAATCAAAAATGTAAATAGATTATACACCAACCAGTCACACAAAATGAACAAGAAACACCATCTCGCACCAACAATGAATAGGAAACATATAAAATTTCCTGGTTGCTAAACTCACTTAGAAAATTAGTGAAATGGGCTCAGAATCTAGTCAATATCATCATTGTTAGCCATCCAGTGCAATATCAAGTGATATTGCAGGTTGCTAATCTCAGAAATTTTGACAATCATCATAGCCTAAAGTAAATACATTTCCCACGTGTTATTATAAGCAAGTTAAATAACATCATATGTAACAAAAATAACATCATGAAGAGATTGGTGAAATCCTCACAACCAGGCTCACAAACAGGTTCCACAAAAAACAACAGTTAGAGAAAACACCATGGTAAACAGGCTCACATCCAGCCAATCAAGCATCATCTCCAATGTGTTATTATAAGCAAGTGAAATAACATCATATGTAACAAAAATAACATCATGAAGAGATTGGTGAAATCCTCACAACCAGGCTCACAAACAGGATCCACAAAAAACAACAGTTAGAGAAAAAGGCATGGTAAACAGGCTCAAATCTAACCAATCAAGCCTCAGAAAATGTGTTATTATCCTGTACAATATCAACAGATTATACACAAACCAGCCACAAAAAATGAACCAGGAAACACACATACTATACCAACAATGACATGTTATCTTATAAAATTTCCTGGTTGTTAAGCTCACTAAGAAAATTAGTGAAATGGGCTCAGAATCTAGTCAATATCATCATTGTTAGCCATCCAGTACAATATCAATTGATATTGCAGGTTGCTAATCTCAGAAATTTTGACAATCATCATAGCCTAAAGTAAATAATCACCAATGTAGATAAGTTTCATGAAAACTTACTACACAAAATACCTAGAGCAGTAGCCATCCAGTACAATGTGTCACATTGTAGGTTGCTTACATCTTAGGAAATTGTATGGTGACTTTTAAATATCCTGCAGGCATAAGTTTAATTTAAAGGTTAGTACACTAATATATTCACACAATGAAAGAAAATATTACAAAATGGACGCAAATAGAGAATTACTATCATTTTAAAATAATATGTTCCATCGTCATAATCCCATAAACATATATAAAACATTTGTTAACAGTGACAAGAAAACCATAAACATAATCCCATGAATGTATGGACACACTGAAATATAACATGCAAGCTTAAATTAGATATTTGCCTCTAGTTATCAGAGTTCTCTTTGTACTTTGTAATCTTGTTTGATTTCAGTTTTTGTTAATCTAATTTTTGTTAATCTAACACTAGGTACTATTTGTAACTGATTTAGATCATATGTGCTTCCTTAGGTACAATAAAAGGTCTAACTAATGACCAGCTGGAGGATATCTATCGGTTGCCAAATAATACTTCGGAAGACATACCATCTACCTCTTCATCCAGGTGCAGAATTAATAGATGACATGATTTGTTACCTTTAAACATTCAGAATTAGGATTGATCAACCTGACAAACAATAATTGATAGGTT